CACACCCCACGCCCGCACCCACACCACACACCCGCACCCACACCCCGCACCCGCACCCACACCACACACCCGCACCCACACCACACACCCGCACCCACACCACACACCCACACCCTGTATTATTAGATGATTATTCACTCTCTCTTGGTCTATTATGAAGACTTGTTCATTGTCTTGATCACAAAAATTTTCAACAGAACGATTCGAGCAGCAATATCATTGCTTTCATAGGAAGAAAATAAAACATGAAATGATATTCTTTTTGAATAAAGTGATTGCGAAATAACCTATTTTAGTAATTACATAACACCTTTATGCGATTATCGAAAACAAAAATATGAACAATAATCAGATTTAAACTGTTTTCGATTCATCAAACTAATCAGTTGTTCATGTTTCTATTCCATTTTGTGTAATCTTTTTAAGTAGTTTCAAAAATCTTCAATATGTCTATTTTTATTGAATTCGTTAGGGCCAATCAAATTACACGAAAATATTCCTAAAAAAAATGATGTCTTAAAACATCTGATTTTATTAATGTAAATATAAACCAAAAATGTCATCCAATTACGAAAAATTATTCGCAAACGAGGACGCGGGTGTGGTTGTACGTACGTGCCTGTAGTTCTAATCCACACCCACCCACATCCGCCGCAAAAACTTGACCTTAAAAACTTACACTCACTATTTTCTTCGAAAATATATGTGATTTCCACAAAACATAGAATTTATTGTCATCTGATGAGATCCTTAAGCAAGATCGAAACAGTGTCATGGCTACTAGTCACACCCACACCCCACCCACACACACACACTGTAAAAAGTTGAAAATTTAGTATTTTGGATTTATTTAATGTCTGAATTTATTAATTAAAAGATTTTTTAGAGGAAACGAGTCAAGATCATACAGGAAATCAGAATGCGATAAGTTTAAGTTATGTTATAAGAAGATAATCATGTATTTTGAAATTATTGAACCACTTCTCTCTATGTGTTTCATCTGGTAACAGCCGATAATATTGTTGATCATCTATTTGAATATAGCCAACAAGTTCTTTAGTTATCACATCTTTACCAGTCTCATTCAACACATTACATTGACGAGATGTTGTGTTCTCGTGATTCAAAGCGCTTACAAAGAGACAGAAATGACAACCAAAATTTTTAAATGAGTTATCTTCCTTTAACAAGTCTTTTTCCATTCGCTCATTAGCATCGACCATAAAGTTGTAAAGTGAACGCAATTTCTGTGGATCTTTACTATAGACGCCAATACGTTGGAATCAGTCTAGGAGGGTGAAAAAATTTTTTGCTACTCAAGCAAAGAAAACAAAAGAAGTTTGTCGACTCCGTTGATAAGAAACAAAGAAAGTATTTTTCTGGAAGTTACGCACCCTCGCCGCATATCTCTCCATTATTTGCAAGTCTATTTCTATGTTCCTCTGTGAAAGTCAGACGCTTCGGATACTGCGCACCCAATATGTAATTTTGTCGCCTTTCGCTCTACAGTATCTAGGAGAACTTACTTCTTTTTTCTCTTTTGCTTCATGACAATATTCTTCCATCGGAACACACAAATGACAATGCCAGGGAGTATTGTGTTCTTGATACCTAGAGCGAGAAATGCAACAATAATGGCTCTTTTTGTTTCTTATTTCGAAAATTTTAATTATGTTACGCTTACCAGCAACCACGATGAAATGATAGAATCTAATAAGACGAATACAAAAAGTATATTTGTAAGCATTTAAAATATATTCTTTCAACGGTCAAATAACTTTTGAGATAAAGAATTTAGTGATGTCAAAACTTCTCTATATTTCTACCACATAGAATACGTAATTCAAGTCACAAATCATAAGTATTCACTCAGGCTAACCTTAAATTTTGGACGACTTTTGTACACACTGTTATTGAAGCATTATACCCCATCTAGCAACTTAAATTGTAAAGGATCTTACAAAGTATTGTATATCAGATTAAAGCTCATTATAAACTGGATTTACTGGTGTAATTAATAGATCTTCCAACAATCATTGACTAAGAGAATTATTTAAATATCTTTCACTGTATGCCCAAATGAGCTCGTATTTTACGATTTTCATTCTTCATGTGTGTGTTTTCATTAAAAAAAATATAATAGTAGATTCGTGATCATCATCAAAAACTAGACCTAGAAACATGTCATTTGTATATTTTTGATGAAAGAAAGTTTTTGAAAAAATCCTAGGTAAGTACCATGGATCTACTATAATTTTTATTAAAATATGTACATGAAGAATGAAAATCGTGAAGTAAGAGCTCACTTTGACATACAATGGAAGATATTTCATTAATTCTAATAGTCAATAATTACTGTAGGGCCTATTAATAACACCCGTAAATATAGTTTTCAATGAGCTTTAGTTTGGTATATAATGCTTTATAATATCAATTACAATGAAGTTGCTCGAGGGTCTGTAATGGTTATGTAACACGGTGTACATTTGATTTTATTAAAATGAAGCAGCTGAATATCAAAGTGCTCCGTTTTGTCTTGCTCTCATTGTGTTTTCTGCAAAAAATCTACTCATTAAAGAGCTCGACCTTTGACGATCTAGCAGAAAATGCAATCTTTGTTATTCAAAATCAAGATATTCAATAGCCTATTGCCCACGCAAGCTTTCTTTCGAAGCAGACTTGACAGTACGTACAGCTTGGTTATCGTATTCTGGCCTGTTCAGTAAAAATTTTGTTACAAGCAGTATTGTTTGGTCTATTTCATTTGCTTTTGTCTTCTCGTCGACATTTCCGTCTGTTTGTCGTACAATGAAATGTGGGCGTGGACTGAATTTATCGAAGACTAATTCAATCAAGTCTCCAGACTTAGGAGTGCCACATGTTGGAAAAGGAAGTGAAACGTAAGTAGTCTGACGAGCAGTAGCCTGAGACGGTAAAAAAATTAGATAAAGGTAATAACACAAACTGAGACTTAAAAAAGCCTTACCATATTTTCTGAATTCGAAAATTGGAGTTTGTAAAATGGAGGAAATTATGTTTTTTTAAATGAAGAAACCTTCACGATGTATAGTCAAATATACTTTTTCTTTTACCTTGAAAAACACCTAATGTTTTTGCTTCTTTTAAGGGTTTTTTTCTACTATGACATTACTCAGAGTGGCTGACTCTTTTTGTTTTGTTCTGTTCTGTTCTTATCGCGCTCTGTCCGTGTTTTTTAATTTATACCTTTTTATTACCATGCTTTATAATGTTACCCTCGAAACCCATATAAATATTTTCTTAATAAACATGCGTCGGTAACGCAGCAACCGAACGCGTAAAGATGCAGTTCATATGAAACATTTTTGGAGTTTTGACGCGGTTCAATATAAGCTTTCGTTTAGACGCGATGAGGATGAGAGTGAAGGTGAATATTTTATTAACGAGATCATAAATTGAAAGCATCGACAGGATGTGGATGTGGGATCTCTCTTATCTATAACCAGAAATACGCCAATACATCCACATGTATACATCATCATCCTCTCTCCCCCACCCCAGAATAAAAAGCAAAATTCAAATAAATACAGGTCTATCAGGATAATATTCTGTACATCAGTCTTTTCTTAAAGAAAACTCAGAGAGAAAGGTAAAATCTTGTTTTTTTCTTTTGAAAAACCTCAAAAGTATAGAAAACAATATTCTAGAGCACGATTGAAGATTCGTACGGATGAAACCAAATATATGCATATGTTTTTTTTTAAATCATTGTTTGAACAGTTGGCTTAGAATGATGAACAATGCATATTACTCTGGTACGGGATGTCTCCGGTTATTTCAGGAATGAGCATTATTGTACCTTGATCTTATTGAATTCTCGAAGGGTTGTACTTTTTTTGGGTTAGTTTATCATTTTTCAAATTGTTCTAATTATCTAAATGATATTTTAAAATTTTAAGAATCTTTATTCAGATATTTTTATCAGCTTTAAAGTGCGGGTGTGGGTGTACTCGTAAACAAAAACATCCACACCTGCCCTATCTATTAGACAAATTAATGTATAGGATGTTTTCGATTTGGAAAAGAATTATGACATTCGAAGATCTTCATGGTAGCATGTATATGAAAAAGAAATAATATCATTCATTCATTATCTATTTACGCAATTAGACCACAGAAAAAAAAGAAACATCATTGTTTTCATTGACGATATCGGTCAAATAGAATAAACTGATATAAATATACAATTATTCACATTTATAAGCTAAGAAAAATAGATATATTTACACATAAACATGGAATATTCATGTGTTCAATTAAATGATTTACCTGATGAAATTCTTATTTATATTTTAAAAAAATAAAATAATGTCACAGTACTTTATTGTTTAATGGATGCCAATAAACGATTAGATAAAATGTTACATAATTCTATTTTTACTAGTAATTTAACATTATTGAAATATTTTTCATATGATTCTATTTATTCATTATGCAATCCAATGCTTAAACGATTTTGCTCGGAAATCTTACCTAAAATTAATAATAAAATCCAATAGTTTAATCCTGAATTATCATCTATGGAATGTATTCTTCTTTCTGCAAATTATCCTAATTTATTTGGACTTGGTATACATAATACTGAAATGGAGACTGCTTTATATCTTTTTACAGGTAAGATATTTTTACTTGAAATTCTTTCAAGAAATTTTTTATACTAAAATGGATATTAAACAAATGAAGAGAGAATTTTCCTTTGCACATGAAATAAGATTTTGAAAAAATAATAAGAAAAATGATCAAAATAATTGATACTATAATTTGATGAATATTAAAAATGCTTAGTTACTTTTACAATAATTTTTCTATTTATGTTTAGATCAAAATTGTTTAATTAAAACATTTAAAAATCAGATTTCATCACTTGTAATTGGAACTAAAAATAGAATAGGTGTGACAGATGATATGAATACACTTATATTTACAAATATATTAACTATATTCTTCAATTTGAAATATTTAAATTTTGATCCATCTTTGATTTGTTATCCACCAATATCATTCCAAAATTCATTTCCAACTATTTTCTCTTTAACTTTGCTAGAATGGCATGTCAAAGTAACGCATATTGACGATTATCTTTATTTACTTGATGGTCATTTCAATCAACTTCGTTCTTTCTATGTTCATATATTATTATTCTCTATACGTTCTACATCGATCAGATCAGATCAGATAGGTGCCTTATCTGTTACAGACGTTGGCTAACATGATACGCCAATTCTTCCTATCTTGTGCTGCGTGAAGAAAGTCTATTTTCGCATGACCTTGTTTTTCAATCCAAAG